GGACGTGATTGAGCCATGCGAACGAGCTCATCTTGAAAATGAACGAGCATGTGACATAAAACCACAATAGGACAGGACGACGTCTGTCGGGCCAGCTAGTATAAGTATAAAATGCTTAAGTTGTACTCAAGCTTTGCGTTTGACAATGGGGGAGGACACAGTTTGATAAAATTTGTTTCTTTAAATTTACGGTATACTATAGTATTACACATCTACCATAGTCATAATGTTCTACCACTACACCTAAACAATAAAGAAAAATTAATTATTATAAAATTCGCAAAATATCACAAATTATTCATGAAATTAAAAACATAACAACTGTAAACAATCATACTGTGACAGTTCTCACTGCACTTTTGTTGTTGCCTAGTTCAAATTAGAAAGCGACCTCCTCCAGCATTAGTTTAGCATTAGCTCGCAAGTAGTTTTCTAAGCGGCCGAACTATAGCTGTTTTCATAAATGCAAAAAAAATAATAGTGCTGCACCCGATTGGTAAATCTTATAACTTTTTAATGCTTTTGCATATCATAGAATCAACTTTTTTAGTTGAAACAGCTGACAAAATTCTTTAATTATCTTTAAATATGAATACTCATAAGGTAACATGGGGAACTACAGAGCCACTGGGGCGGAGCCCGAAAGGATTTTTGAGATAAGAATATGCCTATATGTTAATCGGGAATGTGAGCTATCATCATGCCAAATTTCAACCCAATACACCCAGTAGTTAATGCGTGATTGAACTTCAAACAAACAAACAAACAAACAAACAAACAAAGAAATAAACAAACAAACACACAAACCTTCACATTTATAATATTAGTAAGATAATGTGAAAGTTTGATTGTGAAGTTTGTGTGTTTGAAGTTCAATCACGCATTAACTACTGGTCGGATTGGGCTGAAATTTGGTATGATGATAGCTCACATTCCTGATTAACATATAGACATATTCTTATCTCAAAAATCATTTCGGGCTCCTCCCCAGTGTCCCATGTCAACCTTATAAGTATTAATATTTAAAAGGAATTTAAAAAAATGTTCAGCTATTGGTCACAAGTTGGTTCTATCATTGACTATATACCATAAAGTTCTATGATATTCAATATAATTAAAAAGATATAAGGTTTACCAACAGGGTGCAGCACTGTTAATATTTTTTGCATTTATGACAAAAGTTTATTTGAACCAAGCAGTGACAAAAAGCTGTGATACACAATGAGAACTGTCAAAGTAGTTAAGTTGTTTACTGTTAAGTTTATTTATAAATAATCTTTTGATATTGTGCAAATATTCGATAATTTATTTTTTTGTTTAGGTATAAGGGTTGATCATTATGGCTATGGTAGATGTGTTATAACTATAGCATACCGTAAATTAAAAGAACCAAATTTTCTCAAACCATCTCCTCTCCCATTACAAATGCAAAGCAAGAGTATAACTGCAATAAGCATTTTATACTGTTACGTCAACCTCGTACGAAGGACGGGTATTCTGCTAGTGTTTTAATATGTTCAGAATCAATCCGACGATTAATTTTTTCCTGTGCCCCCAACCTGAAGACGACGCTGATTGTGAAAGCCTCAGATATTGTCACACTATTTTCAAACTAACGGTACCTCACCTGACAACAGTTCTAATGGTTGCAATCAGGCTGTTTTGACAGATTTCCATTTGTCCTGTCCGGTACATACGCACATCAGTCTGGTAAAAGTAGGATTCGTCAAGGATTTACACGATGAACGACCCCAAACAATACATGAGACAAATACAGCGTACTTCACTAATCTGAATTTAGTTTTTTACCACTGGAGTTGTTGGTATAAGAATTGAGATTATCCCCCAAACTTTGTATTTTTCGGAAGATAATTCATCAACTGCTGTTGAGTGAATATATATGTTTCATTGATATATGCAATTACAATTTGCTGTGTTTTATAGTTTTATGAATATATTTTGTCTATAAACAGTAAGTCTTTACATAAATGACCCTTTTTACGTGTTTGTAAAGGAATTACATTTTACTATCTACAGTACCACCATAAACAAAATATCTAGAATTATTAATTAATACCAATAACAAATGTCTGGGGGTTCATGATCAGTCCTTTCCAAAGGTCGAAACAATTACTCCGGTGGATTTGAAATAATGAAATCTAGCCAGCGGCCAGTGGCCAGTGGGTTTAAAAAAAATGTAGTTAAAATGCTCAAGTGAGGCCTTCTCTCTGGCTGGAGTCTTATATGTATTCATAATAAATAGTTTACCCTACGATTTGAAAACCCCAACACTAATCAATGTTTGTACTTGTGTACACAAATTTACTAGAGTGTAGGCTTATGGAAAATGTAATTGCGTGACTTACAAAGGGAGTTTCAAATAAGCAAATGCCTGTAATAAACTCAAGTTATATTAAAAAAAATAAAATACAATTTTATTAAAATACTTTTCCAAACTTAGGAAAAGTGGGTGGCAGAAATATGTAAAAAATACTCTAAAATAAGATAAACAAAACTTCGTGTTATTTTAGCGAATTTCCCTATAGGGAAGTAGCTATTACCGTAGGTCTCATGGTAAGACTTAGGCCCGGGACCGATTTACTTTTTCATTTTAATGTCCCCAGAGGCCAAAAACACCATTCGTTAAAATTTTTATATATGTATATATATATAGGTATATATATATATATATATTTATATATATATATATGTGTCCGTGAACACGATAACTTGAGTAATTTTCATCCGATTTTGATGAAATTTGGTTTGAAGGTGTAAGGCGGGATAAACTTGAATGAGTTCGCGATCCAGCATGATCGGACCATGGGAACAGGGTTTTATGGGGGGTTTTATGGGGTAAAAATTGGTTTTTCTCACTTTTTACCCTCAAAACACAAAATTTCCCAATTTTTCTCCAAACCTTCTTAAAGAGCTTAAAAAAACAAACAATTCAGTATATCAAAGTGTTTTTGTACGGTTATTGGTTACGGAGAAAACTAAAAAAATTGTAAATTTAAAATTCCCATGTTATTCTTATGGAGAATATTGTAAAATGTTGTAGTTTGCTTGTTTATGGATATATTTTGATCAAACTTGGCAAATTTATTTATTTTATAGTAAGCTATCAATATTTTACTAAAAACACACTACTTTATTAGTTTCCTTGTAGCAGCAAACCTAGGTACTCGTTAAACCTAATGTTATTTAAATAGATCAATTGAAAATCAATTCGGCCAAATGGAAATTCGCTTAGGCGGCAGGTTTGCTGCGGCGGGGGTATTTAGTTATTCTATGGTAATACCGATCCTACCCAGTATCCTACCCAAGTCCTACCTAGTGATGTGACGAGTTGAGTTGGCGAGTCGAGTTGACTCGAGTCAAGACCCGAGTCGAGTCAACTCGAGTCAACTCAATTCCAACTCGAGTTCTTTTACGAACTCGTACGGAGATTGCCGAAGCTACACGAACTCGTAACGTTACGAGTCCGACTCGCAAAAGCCGAGCCAAGAAACCGAACTCATACGGAGAAAACCGAACCTTAACGAACTCGGGACGTAACGAGTTGACTCGAGTTTACTCGCAATCGCTTTCGGCCAATAGCGTCACAGCTTTACGAGTCAACTCGCATAGATTCAACGCTATTGGCCGGTACCGAGTCGGCCGACTCGCAAAACTAACGAACTCGTACGGAGAATGCCGAACTCACACGAACTCGGAACGTCTCGAGTCGAGTCGAGTCGACTCGTAAAGCTGACACGCTATTGGCCGGTACCGAGTCGGCCGACTCGCAAAACTAACGAGCTCGTACGGAGAATGCCGAACTCACACGAACTCGGAACGTCTCGAGTCGAGTCGAGTCGACTCGTAAAGCTGACACGCTATTGGCCGGTACCGAGTCGGCCGACTCGCAAAACTAACGAACTCGTACGGAGAATGCCGAACTCACACGAACTCGGAACGTCTCGAGTTGAGTCTGACTCGACTCGTAACTCGAGTTCACGGCAGTTGGCGAGTTGAGTCACTCGAGTCAGGAAAGTACCCGACTCGTCACATCACTAGTCCTACCCCACTGATATGATGATCACAACTAGTGATGTGACGAGTCGGGTACTTTCCTGACTCGAGTGACTCAACTCGCCAACTGCCGTGAACTCGAGTTACGAGTCGAGTCAGACTCAACTCGAGACGTTCCGAGTTCGTGTGAGTTCGGCATTCTCCGTACGAGTTCGTTAGTTTTGCGAGTCGGCCGACTCGGTACCGGCCAATAGCGTGTCAGCTTTACGAGTCGACTCGACTCGACTCGAGACGTTCCGAGTTCGTGTGAGTTCGGCATTCTCCGTACGAGCTCGTTAGTTTTGCGAGTCGGCCGACTCGGTACCGGCCAATAGCGTGTCAGCTTTACGAGTCGACTCGACTCGACTCGAGACGTTCCGAGTTCGTGTGAGTTCGGCATTCTCCGTACGAGTTCGTTAGTTTTGCGAGTCGGCCGACTCGGTACCGGCCAATAGCGTTGAATCTATGCGAGTTGACTCGTAAAGCTGTGACGCTATTGGCCGAAAGCGATTGCGAGTAAACTCGAGTCAACTCGTTACGTCCCGAGTTCGTTAAGGTTCGGTTTTCTCCGTATGAGTTCGGTTTCTTGGCTCGGCTTTTGCGAGTCGGACTCGTAACGTTACGAGTTCGTGTAGCTTCGGCAATCTCCGTACGAGTTCGTAAAAGAACTCGAGTTGGAATTGAGTTGACTCGACTCGGGTCTTGACTCGAGTCAACTCGACTCGCCAACTCAACTCGTCACATCACTAATCACAACAATGTCAACAAGTTTAGTTGTGAATCGTATGGTGTGTAACAATCAATGATAAGCCATATCGCCCGCTATATCGCGATGTTTCATAGCCAACAGAAAACCAGCCAATATTACAACGTCGAATATAAAAAAAAATCATAAAAAAATGAAATGACAAAAAAACATCGTCTTTCTTATTTCTTATTCTTAGTAATAGTAATCTTAATCTAACCTTAACCGAACCTTGCATTGAACTTAAAAGTGGTTATTACTTACATTTTGCATCAGTTCAGTAAATTATTAATTATTTCTCTTGAAAATCTTACAGTTACCTAGTCGTGAAAAATAAGTATGCTAGGCCTGTCTTACAATTGAAGTTTTCATTGAAGTGTCGTATAGAATTCCACATTTTTGTATAGCCTAGTTGGAAAACAAGCTTAAGTCAATTGATGACTTTCTTGCATCAGAATAACTTACAGTCTAATTTATTCAGGTAAGTGCAGGTATTTTGTCTTTGGGTGCAGTTTCTTAACCGGGTTAAGCTTATATCGATTGAAACTATCGATTCGATTAGTAAACCTTCATTCGAATTATTCATTAGGCCTATCAGCAAGTTTGGTTGGTTTGGTTAGGTTATGACAGTTTAATTTTATAATTTATAGCCTATAGTTAGTTTAAAATATTGATTATTAATCGATTCTCAATCGATAGTTTCAATCATTATTAGCGTAGACCAGTTAAGAAACTGTAGGCCTACATTTTGGTTAAGCTCTTCAATATGGTTTACAGAAAATACAGGAAATTCTTCTATTACAGTATGTCTTTGTTTACTGGTAGGCTAAGACTTTCTCCTGTTTTCAGTTTGGGAGTTGAAATGGTGGACATAGGCTACATCTTTAGGCTAACTGCATTAGCCTAATGATGTTATATAATACGTAATGACTGTATGTGTCCGAAAGCATAATTTGGACATACAGTAGAACCCCTGATATCCGCCCTTGGTATTTCTGGTCCTCGGTTTATCCGGCTACTTCCAGGAAGCCAATATTTAAGTGTTTTTCCTCAAGGTTTACAGAGGCGTTGTTGCAAGCACTAGGCCCTAGTCTTGTCTGTTCTCATGCGATTCTCAGTCTCTGTTTACATTTTTTTGTCACTGCTCAGTTGAGCTAGTAGCCCTAACCTCTGAACAGTTGGTTGATATTAAGAGCGGGGTTAAGTTAGTACATTTATTGTTTTATTACGTAAGAATAAAAATATGTTCCATTTAAGGCCAAATGATCATCAAGGCCAATTTATTGTGAGTCATTTTTACCTCCAGTGTTATTTAGGTAGGTAATGTTATTTTTTGTTACCTGGAATCATATTATAATAACAAAATAAATTTTCTGATGGTTAGAATATGTGTAGGACTTATATTGGCCTTTCTAAATATAATTCAAAAAGAGACTTGAACAATACTTTTGACTGTATTTATTGATTACGCATTAGGATTAAAAACGGTACTTTCCTATTTAGGGGAACATTCGGCAAATATTTACTGTATCTACATTGGGATATGATGTCATTTTTAGATGTCTCCTTAGCCTAGGCCTACAGTATTTTTCACGCTGAATCCAAAAATGCAATCAGTTTTTGTCGGAGAGATTCCTAAGTGGCCGTAAAACAAAGGTTAAGATTACGAAGCTAAGGATAATTGAGCGGTACGAAGGTAATATGGCGTGGTCTGGACGGGTGTAATATAAAAACACATGTAGACCTAATATCATTAATTAGTTGCTGATACATAAAATTACGCACTGTGGCACGTTTTCACTTTTAGGCACAATGGGATTATGTAGGCTACTATGGGAAATATTATGCACTATGGCACCATTAACAGACGTTGAGTGAGGGTTGGAATGAGGACAATCATGTCAGCAGTGGCCTAGCTTCTATTACTGGTAATTTTTTTATAATTTTTGTTGGTGTGATTAATAGTTTATGTATCGTAGATGGTTTATTGTATTTTCCAACAGCACCTAAGTCCATTTGCTTATAAAAGTCATATTACTGCATATTGCAATTCTGATTTTGCTCTTATGTCGTTGTGTGTTTAGTATCGAATGTAAACAACTGACAGCTGTTTCTACTCCACAAACCTTCCTCCCCTTTCAGTGTTAGTTCGTTAATAGAACTTGGACTCATCCAAACCACAAATACGTGAATAACTCAACAAAACTGAAGCTTGATATTAATTATTTAACTGAACGGCCAGTGCTCGATGGTGAAAGTACTTACTTGCACTAGATGTGGTATGTGTTCTCTGGACGAAGAAAATATTATTGTTTTGCCCTTGCAACAGAAGAGAAAGCAGTTTTGCCATTCAAACATTTTCACTACCTATTAATAAAATTATTGCCTTCTATGTCCATTACCTAGTTGTAAACAACGTCCTCGCTGCCCAAACAATCACTGGGCACAAAGTCCGGGTCGGCTAACCTGTGTCATCCTCGTTGTCATCAGTTAGGATTTCACTAGACATTGGATTGACTTGCTCTGTCTATCTCATTTTAGTGTAGTTCGCTAATAGTGACAACTATAAACTCACTGATACACTCACAAATACACAAACATAAGTTACTTATGGTTAGAACTGAGCGAACGTTACTGGGGATGATGGGAGGTGGGGAGGATTGGGGTTTGACTTTTAAAGGACAGAGATCGTGGGAACAACAAAAGGCAGGAATGTCGGAACAAAGGGAAATGACGCTACCTCCAACCACACAGGGTAAATTACTGTACTCTCAAAAACCGAAAAATGACCTGGGTTCCAATCAGGTTGACAAACAGTTTTTTTCTAGCGATTTTTTGCTAAAAATTGTCAGTGCTGACACAGTTGGTCCTAATGTTTTTGGTCTAAATTTCAATTCTTTTATGACAGCTTTATAACTAAGATAAACAAGTATAATAAACATTATATAGCTGAAAATAGGACTAAATTTCTAATTAAAAATAGGTATTTACCTTCGTCTACAGCTCAATCTGTTGTAACTTGAGTTACGGCCGTTTCGGCATTATAATGCCATCGTCAGACGTTGAAAATTCAGCTGAAGTAGCGTCGTCATAGTTGAAACACAAAACACGAACAGGCCTGTCGCACACACGGTACCGGTTGACATTGCCACGATCTGAACTGGATACCGACTGGAGGTTAATCCTGCATCGTTCTTTGCGTAGTGGTGTTATCAGCTGACCTTTGTACTCCTGCCTTTTGTCTCTTGTCCTGGTCTAAAATACTATTGAAAATGATGTGTGATTTATATTGTAGTTTGTCATTTAATATTGTGTCATCAAAATTATTTTCTGTATAGGCTCTGTAAATTTTGTATTCTTCTAATGTATCCAAATTAATTTCCTTTCTTGCTTGTGTGGAGTATATCAAGGCCAGTGTTCAGATCATACATGTCATGGTTTTTATCAACCAGGTGTTGCGCAAAGGATGATTTTTGTTTGTCGGCTCTTGGACATGGGTGATGTTCTTTGTACCTGGTTCCGAATGTCTGTCCAGTTTTTCCTATGTAAAAGCTCGGGCAACTAGCACATTTAATTTTGTATACACCTGACTTCTCACTTTTGTCGATTACACGATCAGAAACGTTTAATTTATTAATTGTCTTGTTGTTGGTCTTGAACGCCAATTCGATACCATGTTTTTTCAATTCTTTCGTAAGTGAGTACTGAATTGAATGTGAGTACTCTACACACACATACTTCTTCTTTTGTGGTTGGACGTCTCCAGACTTTTTGTTTTTCATCTTACTTAATAACCTGTCAATCATATTGCTGTTGTACCCATTAGATAGCGCAATGTGTTTGATCAAATTGAGTTCTTTATGAAAATTGTTCCATGTCAGACGTCAGATGTGATTATTAAATGTTCCAATGTCAGACAACAATTTTAATAAAGAACTCAATTTGATCAAACACATAGCGCTATCTAATGGGTACAACAGCAATATGATTGACAGGTTATTAAGTAAGATGAAAAACAAAAAGTCTGGAGACGTCCAACCACAAAAGAAGAAGTATGTGTGTGTAGAGTACTCACATTCAATTCAGTACTCACTTACGAAAGAATTGAAAAAACATGGTATCGAATTGGCGTTCAAGACCAACAACAAGACAATTAATAAATTAAACGTTTCTGATCGTGTAATCGACAAAAGTGAGAAGTCAGGTGTATACAAAATTAAATGTGCTAGTTGCCCGAGCTTTTACATAGGAAAAACTGGACAGACATACGGAACCAGGTACAAAGAACATCACCCATGTCCAAGAGCCGACAAACAAAAATCATCCTTTGCGCAACACCTGGTTGATAAAAACCATGACATGTATGATCTGAACACTGGCCTTGATATACTCCACACAAGCAAGAAAGGAAATAAATTGGATACATTAGAAGAATACGAAATTTACAGAGCCTATACAGAAAATAATTTTGATGACACAATATTAAATGACAAACTACAATATAAATCACACATCATTTTCAATAGTATTTTAGACCAGGACAAGAGACAAAAGGCAGGAGTACAAAGGTCAGCTGATAACACCACTACGCAAAGAACGATGCAGGATTAACCTCCAGTCGGTATCCAGTTCAGATCGTGGCAATGTCAACCGGTACCGTGTGTGCGACAGGCCTGTTCGTGTTTTGTGTTTCAACTATGACGACGCTACTTCAGCTGAATGTTCAACGTCTGACGATGGCATTATAATGCCGAAACGGCCGTAACTCAAGTTACAACAGATTGAGCTGTAGACGAAGGTAAATACCTATTTTTAATTAATATCACAGCTCATGGGCTAAAAATGGATTTTAACTAAATTTCTATTTGGCACTGCGGTAATCAAACCATAACAGTACAGTACAGTACAGTATGTCATTTAGGCCCGCTGCACATTGGAGCGAGGCGAGGTGCAGGCAAGGCATGGCTGATTCTGTAATACATGTGTTTAAATGGAGCACCGCACATTGAGAAGAGAGCACCCTCTGTCAGTCCTCCGCGGCGTTGTAGTTGGAATAGGGCCTTCAGTTTTCCTGCACCTCGCTCGCGTCTGTGTTGGTTTTCTAGTGTAGGCTATTGTGAGTGAAAGATATAGTAATGGATCATTTAATTCAGATGGTACAAGATCACTGATAGCTTTTCTTGGGAAGTTATAGGTTGTTGAGCAAATTACATTCCTTCCACTACCGTAATGTCACTTTCAATCAACTTATGGATATCATCAAACTATGGTTTGTTCACACAAAAATATTCTCTAAAAGACCGGTCTGGCAGTTCAGTAGTTAAAACATAGCCTCTGTGGCTTAATATTTTTTCATGTAATCATATTTCCAAAAACTTTTTACCTGTTTTGGATAGCGAATATAGTAAAACCATGTTAAACTAAATTATTAAAATCAGTATCAGATTGAAGATCCAAAAATTTGCCCTCTAATCGCAACTTTGTAGGACCAAAGCTAGGAAATCTCTGACCCGCCTCACCCCAATGTGCGGTGACATGAAAACGCCTTCGCTCCCATCTACACCTAGCCTGCACCTCTCCTCCACCTCACCTTGCTTCAATGTGCGGTGGACCTCAACGTGATCATTTACGGACAAACCACATAGTTCGCCTGCTATTTTTTAATGATGCCACTGAGGCTGCTCATTCACCATACATCTTGAAGAGGATCTGCCACCTTTTAACATCTTGGAAGAGTTTTTAAAATTTTTTTTCAGTACATCTACTTCCTTGTAGTAGGAACGTTAAATCAAACATGGTGGTCTAAAAAAATACTTAATTGGTCCTAAACAGAGTACCATACTTTGTCTGTCCCAATCATACAACAAACAAAGTTATTATTTGGCTGAACAGTAGCTCTACATATTTTATGTACAGTCCCATTTATTATTTTACTATGAGTATGTTTCACAGAAATTCTTAATCAAAATTATTCCCAAAAAAACTAAATATTATCCAGCCAACCTACTCTTCTCAGAATTCTCAGTTTTAAATATCAGACAATTATTCATCAAAACATTTTCATTAAGAATAATAAAGAAATTATTTTGTCTAGCTTACAACACAATTACCATGTACAAGACACAGGCAAAACTTTGGATACTGTACTTCACAACTAGCCTTTAGTTTGTTGAAATACCCCCAACGCAGCAAACCTGCAGACTAAGCGAATTTCCATTTGCCTGATTGGATTTACACTAAAATATCTCATTAAAAATATCACATTTATTCCCTATTTAAAAAGCATTAGTTTAAAGAGTTAGTTAGGTTTGCTGCGACAGGGAGGGTCAAAAACGTGTTTTTAGTAAAATTTTAAATAGTTTAGTATGAAATAAATGCATTTTCCAAATTTGATCAAAGTATGTTCATAAACAAGCAAACTACAACAGTTTACTTATTCTCCATACAAATAACATGGGGAATTTAAATTTAAAATTTTTTTGAATTTTCTCCGTAACCATTAGGCGCATAACGCTTCATTGTACTAAATTATTTGTTTTTTTAAGCTCTACAAAATGGTTTGGAAAGAAATTGCTAAATTTTATGTTTTTTGGGTCGAAAATGGGAAATCCCAATTATTACCACATAAAACCCCCACAAACCCCCATTCCCATGGTCCGATCATGCTGATTCGCGAACTCGTTGGAATAAATGTAGGTTTACATGTTTGTAACAAATTTCATCAAAATCAGATAATTTTTGCTCGAGTTATCATGCTAACGGACACACATATTTATATATAATGGGTTTGAACGGATGGTGTTTTTGTCCTCTAGGGACCTCAAAATGTAAAAGTAAATCGGTCCCGGGTCCAGGTCTTACCATGAGTACTACGGTAATAGCTTATTCTCTATAGGAAATTTGCTAAAAGAACATATTTTTTATTGCT